CAAAGAATAACAAAGAAACGTATGGGAGATAATTTTAAAGAATGTAAATTGGTGAATGAATGCAGTGATGAATCATTAGAAATATTCTAAGCATTTAATGTATAAATTCTTTCGGTTTTTCCGACATTTACGGTTGATCTATGAAGTGTGGGTATAGTGGTATTCGTGATGGTTACCGGTTTAATGCCCTACAACGATCAAAATTCATGGAGAATGCTCTTGAAGCAATTGCAAAATAGATTCCTTTAGGAGTATTTTAAAATAGAAAATTATAACTCAACATTTGTGAAGCTTTTTTAAATTATGAACGTGATTTCATTATCTACAAATAATATTATTTTTCGAGTCCCATAGGATACCTGAGATATCAAAGATCCTGACTTATTGATGCTTGCTTACGTAACTTAATAACCTAGTCTTTATTATAGGACATTACCTAATTTTTTTGCAAATCATTATCTTTCAAGTTATTAATTGAAAGGATGTGCAATTGGGCAAATAAATTAATGACTCAAAATTTTTCGTTTTTCAGATTAACATTCCCGCATAAGGTATTGATGAGCGCGGAAGTAAAAACACTAGTTTACGAAATATTACATCCGATACCATCTGAGCGTGAGCAGTATTCGGATATTGTAATATCAGCTTGGCTTGCAGATACTCCGTACAAATTTCGGACAAGGAACAGCTGATTTACTAGAGTTCCCATAAAACACTTTTGGCCCTTCATTGTGTTCAATTCTTCAGATATTCATAACTTTTTTAAATTAGCATTTCTGGAACCAACATTGAACTTATAATCTTAAGTAATATGCGGATATGCTATATGAAAATCAAATAGTTAAGTTTTTATATTTCAGTCTATATTTCACACTTGATTTTATTTGCTATATTTCTTCACAGATGACCGAAATATTGTTTGTATTAGAAACAAATATTGCTATCGTGATTCTCATTTCTACACTATCAGTTTGGGATAACTGCTGTTTACAAAACTTTGCTCATCTTTAATTTTCAAGTCCCCAGATCTCTCCTCAAATCGAAGTTTCTTAATTGAATTTGTATTATGAACTCAAGTAAAATCTAGTAAACATGGTTCCCATTACTGGTCACTGGAAACTGTGTTTTCAGATTCACCTCTCATCTCATAATTCCAACCGCCAAAGTGGTTTTCCATTTGCTGTCATATGTCAGTGTATTCAATAGGTCAAAAAGATTGCTCTTGCCGTTCGGAGTTGTTTGCTACACGACTACTCAGATATCATACAAGAAAGATTCACCATGCCATTTGCTCAATTCATTTTTCGTGAATCCATTCGTTCTCAGGACTATCAATGGAACGTTACATCTATTCCTTTTCTTTTATTTATTTTTTTTTAAATTTTGAGTCATCAGAAAGCCCTGGAACCGAAAAGCTAAGTAATAATTATATTTCCAAATAACAATTTGAAACAAAAGAAAATATCTTTATTGTTCGGAGTAATACATAGAAATGATTGCTTCCATGATGGGAAACGTATGGTGATTTGTTTTATTTCAGTTTCCCACCATTTCCTTTTCATTTTCATCCCTATTGATTGCTTCATCTCACTTTTCTATTTCTCCTTCTACATATTGTAATTTTAAAGTTAATGCAATGATATTTAAATATTGAAGTGGCAAGCATCCTAGGATCAGTGCGGAAACATTCTATAAGCATAACTTCCTGAAGTTGCTGCCAAATTGAAGTTTGTCATCCTCATAGAATTCCGTAAAATCATGCGCTATGCTAGGAATTCCCGAAAACACTCGGGTAATTCTCTGTCAAACTTATGATTCATGTTGTTGTCATTAGTTTAAAATGTAACAATTTTGTATTATGCACTTGTCAATTCTGCTATCGAATACTTTGAGAAAATCGAAAACTTTATTGGATAAGAAGTCAGAAATCTACTTGCACAACATTACCTCAAGTTAGCAAAACAAAATTATCAAAGCAACCTTTTCCCTTCGATTCACTCAGTTTTCCTCTCTTTTCCCCTTTCATTGGTTGTCGATCTCTACCTATTTCACTAATTATCTTCCTCTCCTTCTCTATAAGGATATCATCGGATTCAGTTTTTTGCTCCTTTGATTCGTCCACAATTGTTTGCTTCCTCAATTTCCTCATTTCCTCGGTCGATTCTGATTCATCGGTTGGATGCACAATTTCTGGTGTTTCTTCCTGTCGTTCCAACTTCATCAGTTAAATTTTACTTCAAAAAATTCCTTTGCCAGCAAAATGGAAATAAAAAATATTTTTAAAAGCTCATCATTATTGCTTTTTTCTTGCCAGTACCATTTGTTTTTTTTTATAATTTTTATTCATCTGAGTCGCATCTGTCGTGGATTTCTGTTGAAGTAATTTGCAGTCAGTCAATAGTTGGAACAAGCAGGGGAATTTTACACGTTGGTTATCGAGAAGAATTTAGAGGTCCCTTGGAGTATTAGTGGCACCACTTTGATGTGGATGATGTGCGTGTGTATGTGTCGTAACGTTGTAGACAAAGCGGGAAAGTTTAATTCTTTACTTGTAAATGGTAAGGGTCATAAAAACGATACGATACTGCTGATAATGATGAAAGGTAAAAAAAGGAATCAACCAAACTGCAATGAAAAACCGGTCATAAAAAGCTCTCTCAACAACACTCCATACGCTTATATACGGAAAAAGTGGGAGTGGTTTTGCTCCAAATATTTCAACAGATGCGATTTAAAACAAAGATCTAAGACATGAGTGATGATTGCATGGATAGATAATTTTTTATACTTTGGTCTTTCGCGAAATTGGAATTCGCGACAGCATCATCTTGGTCACCAGCTGCATTATAGTTGCTTTGTTCGTTTACATCCTTACTTTCTTCCACACCTGTCACGAACTCGGTACTCACCACAGAAGTGCGCTCATCACCCCCTGGAAATTAATTTCTAATTTGAGCAAAGTTTTTTAGTGAATAACAACTGACAATCCTAAAAATTTCACCATTCCAACAGATCAGTCCTTACACTTTTTTTTTTGGATGATTTCCACTCCTGAATGTTATTCGTTATTTTCGCCTTTCTCAACCAGCAAGACAATGCCGGTTAGGAAATATGAAAACAGTTGAAAGCCAGGCACTCTCATTCAGTCTGGGAGATGATAATTTTGCTAGCACGTGCTGCATTCCGGTTACACTTGATATAGACAGACCATCTTGTTCATCCTCATCTTTACTGTGAACATATAGTAATACTACGTTTCACGTAGAATTAAAATAAGAATTAGACACATCATTGAACCAAAAACTATAAAATTTGGATTCTTTGATAAGCTGGGAAAGGATGACGATTTCTTCCAATCTCTACTTAAATTACCTTTATTTTGCTGAAAATTTCGCACTTGTTTCTTTTCACGTTGTTCTTTTTCCTTTGCTACTTTTTTTTCCAATTCTTGCCTTTTATTCATGAGCATTTTTGAGCTGTACAAAAAAAGCTGAATTACGGTCATGCATTAATTTTGCGAATATTCGGACATCACACTAAGCCTTTACGCACTTGACTTTTAGGGTCACGTAAGTACAGACCATAAAATTCATTTTATTAGAGAAACTAAGATATTCAAGTTACTTTCATCTATCAATTTTCCAGCAAGAAAGCAGTAACCAAAGTTCTGCGAGAAGAAACTCACGTTGTTTCTTGATAGTGTTTCTCTAACTTGCGGATATTCCTTTTGCGTCTAAACTAAATAAGTTTCAATAAAAATGTTCGTTCCTTCTGCTGAGAAGTATTGAACTTAATGATGGAGCTTGAAGAGATAAAAGAAATGGATCATCCTTTTTTCGATAATTTTCATCTCCAAACACTAAAAATCTTACCTTAAATAAATTCTCACATTGCAAATGATCCAAAAAATCGAAAGAAGCGCCCAAATGCCAGCTATCACTGATATCTGAATCTTATTCGCTTTCAAAGCATTCTTTCGTCGCTTCTAAATTTAAACAGTCTGCTTTGTGAATGCTCTAATTTGAATTTATTTAGCACTGGTGAAATATGATGATATTGGATACAACTGTGAATACAAATGGCTCACTGAGAATACAATGGTGGCGGTAAATACGGAAATTTTGCATTGTACTATTATCGGGATTTTTAAGTTCTAATCAAAACTATCTGTTAGTATTTTGTAAACATTGGCAAGTAAGTTGAATCACTCATTGCTATTTTAGTCTGAGCAATATGTCCTATAATACCAACGACATTGTTTTAAGTTTCTCATTCATCTGTTCCATCATTTCTTCCAATGTTTTAAACTCCCTGGAAATTGTGCTCTAAAAATTTCTGCATGCAGTGGTAAAGCAACAAATTATACTTTCAGATTTTATACTTGTAAGCAGTGACACAATATTCCAAACTGAATGTTCTGACGAGCAGAGACAATCAAATGTTGCATCGTGAACAAACTTTTTTAATGACGAAATCTTAATCGATTTATTCTTTTCGATCTCTTTCTGTCGAATTTGTAAATCTATTTCATTTTCCACTCCAACTATCAGAACCAACGGAAGCAATGCGAATGGCATCAAGAATGTCATTGCTATCTACAGAATTTCAAGTTTAAATTTTGATTTATGGGAAAAATTCTAAAATTGATCGAAACAGATCCATCAGAAATATCATCAGATATTCAATTCTTCATCCTCTGCTCTTTCAATACTTTCTAATATTCTAACATTGAAGGAAAAATTGAAAGGAATACGCAAAATCATACCTATCTCCACGCAAAGAGTTATGATCACATAAGAAAATGGACTGATTTCTGCGCTCGAAGAAGAAAAAAATGAATGTTTGACTCATTTAAGAATTTCATTTTATACAAAATGATGGAAAACCTCATTTTATTTACATATATTGTGCACAGATTGTCATCAGCATAATTCAGTAAAGTATCCATTACATTTTATCATCGATTCTTTTGCGTGATTCCTCTCTATTTGGGAAAATTTACGTACTGTATAGATATAAATTAGTTGAAAGAGAGTATGAGGAAAAGGCGTAATAAAACAGGATATAAGAGGAGGAAAGAAGGAAGAAAAAAAAAAATCCGAAATTGTCATCAAAATTGTCATCCAATTCAGGATTATTAAATCTTCTGGAATTTGCCTCAACTATCCAGATCCCAATCAAATTATGACCAAATGAGGTTTTTTATCCATTTCTCCTGCGAAGTATCGTTCATTCTGTAACGGCTTTTGCAGTAATTTTTTTCAGTGACTACAACGCATACTTGCATCCTTCTGTCGTG